AACTATGTTTATTTTGTTCAAATAATAAGTAAGGTATGCTTTTAAGAATATATAGTTACTGTAATTTAGACTTATTTTAATCTTAAGTTTACAATTGTTTTTGTTCAAAATTGTAGTGCTAAGGTATTTTGTGTATATTATTTGAATACTATGTTCTTGAAATCGTAAGGGCAAATAATTATCTATACACGGGGAGAATTTTCTCAACTGTCCCAGCGCTACCACAGAAAGGCCGCGGGAGCGCAAAAGACGACTTTTTCATCTCGTCATTTGGGCCTAAGAAAAAAGTTTTAAAAGTCACAAAAGCATCAATCCCCATGCACTTTTTTCTCAGCTTTCTGATAGTGCTATCAGTTTTCACAAAGTTTCACTCTATAACCTATAAAAATGCAAATGATGGTAAAAATCCGTTAAATCTCATGATGTAAGATTTTTAGAATTTTTTTGACTATCTAGATCGAAAGATGAGACAATTTAATCTAAGTATGAACAATAAAAAAAAACGTTTTGTGATATTTTTATGTATTCGACCGATGAATGTATAGGTGTGAGTCACCGAACGGCACAGGCGGCTGCTATGCGCCCGTCGCCGCTCCTAACCCTGCCACACAACACAAGATACTTTTATTTATTTTTTTTTAGATGATATAAATAACAATTAAAAATTGTAGATAAAAATTTAGTTATCTGTAGACATGTTAGTAACAACATAATATTTTTTTTAACAATCAAGGAATAATGATAGACTAAAAATGGAGATCCATTGTGATTTGTTAACATTATTAAAAATAAAATTTAACTATTTTTTCTGTACTCTTCAGCATATTTACTTTATTCTTCTTTTCTTTTTTGCAAAAATTTCACGAAATTTTTGTTAACGTAATGATTTTTTTTATTCAAGGGACTACAGCAGACAACCATTTTAAATACTGTTTGTAAAAAATGAAATACAACAATCAAATAGCTGGCATTCAAGGATGCGTTACCATAGCTCTGTTTCAGCTCACTATAATAATAATACGTATCATAGGCAAATCACGTTCTAAATAGAAGGAATTTAAAAAAAATGCAACTTACGGCAGAAAATAAGAATATCCTGATAATTTATAGTCAAAGAGTATCAAAACAATACATACAAAAAACTTTTCTTACACAGTATTTAGGTTAGGCGTACTTGTTTACACTCGGAACAAATAAAAATAATGCCTCGTAGTGTGTGGTGGCGTTAGGAGCGGCGGCGGGCGTGCAGCAGCCACCCATGCCATGCGGTGACTCGCATCTGTATATTCATCGGTCCAATACAGAAAAATATAAAAAAACCTTTTTTTTTTTATTGACTATACTCAAGTAAAATTGTCTTATCTTTCTTTTGCCATTGCGTCAGAAAAGACTCTTTGTTGTGCTAACCCGTACATGTGTGAACACAAGTTTTGTTACTTTGATCTGGATTATTTTTTCCAGTTAGATTAATTTAAGAATTTCGAAGAAGCCTGTACTGATTTTTTTTTTTTTTTTGTGAAAGATCAATCAGGAAATGATAAACTTTTGTTTGATACACAATCGCCGATACCGTGCTTTTGTTGTAAAATTTAACGACAATGGTATTGCTTTCAAAAGCAAAACTTAGAAATAAGTATTAGAATTATTGCTATAAAACCACGAAGGATAGTACATTGAATTACAATACAATGCAGACTAAGATGGGTTGTGTATGTTTTCATTCTAAAAATAAATTGTTCTCTGCAATTTTACTAATAACTGATTAAACTTTAAGAAATAAGATTCGAAATCTTATTAAATATAAAACGGACTTATTTGAGGAGATACTTGAACTAGGGGTCCACGTAAAAGACTTGCATACTTGAAGAAAGGTAGGAATAAAAAAAATAGGACACATAAAGTAATATGAATATAGTCTTTTTATTATTTGTAACGTACTTCTATCGATTTAATTTTCATAGTGAAAGATCATACCTTTAGTGACACGAAATGAAAAATATAACTTTCAATAAGTAGTTAAGATGGAAAAGTTATAATGAACTACATTATTTTATTCGAAAACGTGTATATATAATCACTGTTTTGGTCAGCTTAACCAAGTCACGATTTTATACATAGGACACCTACTTGCTTACAGCATAAGGCATAAACTTATTCTTATCGTTTATTAATAAATTTATTTTTGATTAAACAAGAGTATAAAAATAAATTGTCAAGTGAAATTTTGAAAACTATCCTCTTAACTTTTTATTAAGAACTATAAGTTATCTATTATATTGATTACACTATTTTTTAGATACTTGCTTAAAGGTCACACTCGATCTATGGGTGACTATGCACTCTGCAATATAAATCACGATTCAAGAAAAATCTATTTTTACGCAAGATCAGTGGTGTCGATAAATGCTTGAAGCTAAACGTCAAAATCCAAAGTATGATGTACATCAATTGCAATGAAGTACAATTTCAATTTTAAAAAGCTGTCAAACAACTATTTTTGGAAAAAAATTAGAATTTTTAAACTTAGTAGGATTTAGTTGTATTCAAGAAAAAAATTACAGTACCTAAATAACGAAAAACAGAAACAAAAACTAAAGTAGCATTTACTCCAAAAGCAGAGGTTTATCTCAATGTCACGACCAAAAATTAGCTATAAATAATTAAAAAAAAAGATCTTTAAGATCTTGTGAAGATAAGGTTGTTCTGAAATAATATACAAGTGTCTTAATGATAATATATCAAGTACTAAGTAATGCATTAGACTGATTATTTTTTTTTTCTTAGGTGCAAGCACTGTTGAGCATATTTAAGTGAATAAGGTATTGCATGTTATGAAGATGATTCATTTTATGTTTTAATGAACAAAACTATGTTTATTTTGTTCAAATAATAAGTAAGGTATGCTTTTAAGAATATATAGTTACTGTAATTTAGACTTATTTTAATCTTAAGTTTACAATTGTTTTTGTTCAAAATTGTAGTGCTAAGGTATTTTGTGTATATTATTTGAATACTATGTTCTTGAAATCGTAAGGGCAAATAATTATCTATACACGGGGAGAATTTTCTCAACTGTCCCAGCGCTACCACAGAAAGGCCGCGGGAGCGCAAAAGACGACTTTTTCATCTCGTCATTTGGGCCTAAGAAAAAAGTTTTAAAAGTCACAAAAGCATCAATCCCCATGCACTTTTTTCTCAGCTTTCTGATAGTGCTATCAGTTTTCACAAAGTTTCACTCTATAACCTATAAAAATGCAAATGATGGTAAAAATCCGTTAAATCTCATGATGTAAGATTTTTAGAATTTTTTTGACTATCTAGATCGAAAGATGAGACAATTTAATCTAAGTATGAACAATAAAAAAAAACGTTTTGTGATATTTTTATGTATTCGACCGATGAATGTATAGGTGTGAGTCACCGAACGGCACAGGCGGCTGCTATGCGCCCGTCGCCGCTCCTAACTATTTATTTTTTTTTAGATGATATAAATAACAATTAAAAATTGTAGATAAAAATTTAGTTATCTGTAGACATGTTAGTAACAACATAATATTTTTTTTAACAATCAAGGAATAATGATAGACTAAAAATGGAGATCCATTGTGATTTGTTAACATTATTAAAAATAAAATTTAACTATTTTTTCTGTACTCTTCAGCATATTTACTTTATTCTTCTTTTCTTTTTTGCAAAAATTTCACGAAATTTTTGTTAACGTAATGATTTTTTTTATTCAAGGGACTACAGCAGACAACCATTTTAAATACTGTTTGTAAAAAATGAAATACAACAATCAAATAGCTGGCATTCAAGGATGCGTTACCATAGCTCTGTTTCAGCTCACTATAATAATAATACGTATCATAGGCAAATCACGTTCTAAATAGAAGGAATTTAAAAAAAATGCAACTTACGGCAGAAAATAAGAATATCCTGATAATTTATAGTCAAAGAGTATCAAAACAATACATACAAAAAACTTTTCTTACACAGTATTTAGGTTAGGCGTACTTGTTTACACTCGGAACAAATAAAAATAATGCCTCGTAGTGTGTGGTGGCGTTAGGAGCGGCGGCGGGCGTGCAGCAGCCACCCATGCCATGCGGTGACTCGCATCTGTATATTCATCGGTCCAATACAGAAAAATATAAAAAAACCTTTTTTTTTTTATTGACTATACTCAAGTAAAATTGTCTTATCTTTCTTTTGCCATTGCGTCAGAAAAGACTCTTTGTTGTGCTAACCCGTACATGTGTGAACACAAGTTTTGTTACTTTGATCTGGATTATTTTTTCCAGTTAGATTAATTTAAGAATTTCGAAGAAGCCTGTACTGATTTTTTTTTTTTTTTTGTGAAAGATCAATCAGGAAATGATAAACTTTTGTTTGATACACAATCGCCGATACCGTGCTTTTGTTGTAAAATTTAACGACAATGGTATTGCTTTCAAAAGCAAAACTTAGAAATAAGTATTAGAATTATTGCTATAAAACCACGAAGGATAGTACATTGAATTACAATACAATGCAGACTAAGATGGGTTGTGTATGTTTTCATTCTAAAAATAAATTGTTCTCTGCAATTTTACTAATAACTGATTAAACTTTAAGAAATAAGATTCGAAATCTTATTAAATATAAAACGGACTTATTTGAGGAGATACTTGAACTAGGGGTCCACGTAAAAGACTTGCATACTTGAAGAAAGGTAGGAATAAAAAAAATAGGACACAAAAAAATTTAGGTAAGTATGTACATAATATTTAATACCAATGCACTTAATGGTGAACCAAGCTATTTTATAACTAAGCAGAGCATTATAAAATTGTGTGTAAGCTAATTTTGATTTAGTAAGTTCAAAGTGTATTGAGATTACTTTCTCATTAACAGCATTATTATGGAAGTATCGTAAAAAATTATTTGTTGCTAGACACAAATTATAAAGGTTTACATTACTTCATCATGAAAATTGTTCTAAGCGGCAAAGGAATACTCACATTGTAAGCAACTCTTGAACTGATCTTCATTTGAAACACAATTTTTTGGAACAAGAGATAATGAAGTCGGTTGAACAGTAACTTTTTGTAAAATGTTTAACGAAGAAGTTGTTGCTTCTGTCGGTGATATTAAAATTTTATTGCTCTGCAAACTTTCCAATTTTGACTCATGTTCCTGAAAAAAGGAAAATGGTAAGTATTTTACAGTGTATAATAAAATTTTTGAGTCTATAACGAATCAAATTGTGTTCTAAAGGAACTTATTAGACAATATTAATATGTTAAACGTTTGATCTAAGTTTATCACTGGTATGACTCGTAATATTTGATACGGAAGAATTATCATACAAATAGGCCTTTGTAGATGTATGTACTGTTTGAAGCACTTTCAGCTCATCTGTCTCCTTTTTTAATAACAAATAATTTTTTAATTGAATGAAAAAATCATTAAGTTTACGTTCAAAGAAATTTCTTACTGTTTGCAAGAAATAAGAAAAAACTTCTCCAAGTGTGCATCGAACGCACAAACTCCTGTTCCCTAGACAGATGCTCTACCGTTAAATATATCCAGGGATATGCATTTGCACGCATCGTAGGTTCATGTGAATTTTATTTTAAGTTGACCTATTGTAGGTCTATACCTTCAATTTTACATGTAAGGTTTGTATTTTATGAGTAAGGTATTTTTCAAACGTAAAGTTCTTGATTTCTTGTAATTAAATACTGAAAAAAGTTTTTTTTTTAAAAAAGGACATTGACAGGCCAAGAGTACATTGAATAGTACTTTCATTGAGATGGACTTTATGATACAATGACACATATGGTTAAAAAATTGATCAGTATAACAGTAATTAATTCAGACCAAACTTCTAGTACCTCAGTTATTGACAAACAGGAGATCATTTTTCTATCATACCTCAGATAAGTGACATTAATATGTTTTGGTTAAGGATTGTTATACGCTTAGACTTCCAGAAATTTAAGACTCTGCTTGCACATACACATTCATAAAAAAAATATTTGTTCTAAACGCTAACGTCTCTAGCATAATACCAGGCGACGTCTAGCCAGAGCAGATATAGTCACAACATTAAGCCAGAGAAAACAACCCCGAGGAGTTTGGGCAGCTTCATCGGCTGTAAATTTCATCAGCATACTCCTCAGTGGTTCGTTCCAACCTTACACCCACAGAGGAGGTCTTCTTCAGGCCTACTTCTCCAACCAAAGGTGAACGGTTGATTATCTGAGAAACGACTCGAAGACGAGATAATCTTCAGCCAGTAACATACCTCCCTTTAGCACGATTTGCATGCACAGAGATTTCAACGGTAAGAGTCAGGCTACCGGTAGCCAGCTCTCTACCCCTGAGAATAATAATAAGGAATTACTGAAATTATCACCTCTGGCCTTTTTCAGGGCTGTCATAAGTCTTTACGCTCATCAAATCACTATCTATTTCATTAATTTTTTTAGGGCCATCTAACGTTTAACTACCTCACCAACAGATATATTTTCACAACTATTTTTAACAACAATTTGTCAACCAATAGACTACAGGAAGCCGGCCACTATTACCTTGACTGAGTCATTCACTGGCAAACGTAACGAGTGGAGATGTTACTCACGAGGCTGAAAACCCCGGCCACCAACGGCCCTGCATTACCTTCTTAACTCTCAGCTTTTAACCAAGAATAACCAATCCTTTTCAAGGTATGCACTAACTAAGAGTGAAGCCATAAAAGAAAACTTGAGCAAGAAGGCACTAGGCAGATATCGCCGATCTTACCAACAAGGCGTGATCCCTGAAACTCAGGGCTTCTCCGGGGATGCTAACTAGCCTGGATTCAATGCTTTGGCAGTTAGCACCAACTTAACTGGCAAAGAGTGGATGTCTTAGAATACGAAGTATTCCCCAGGGAAAGGCTACACAGTAGCAAGTGGACCCGATGCACCATTGTTTTCGAAAGTGCTAACTAACATGTTTCACCGGAAAAATTACCACTGTGTCCATGTGGTAGTTGGAATATCAATTAAAGGTATGGTTAATGGGTGCGGCCAAACACATAGGTGGTAAGTGGCTCCAATGATTGGGCCAAAAATCTGAGCAACCGGAATAGTCTCCATGAGTTAAGTATTTCCAATCAATATCACCACCATGGATTACCAAAATGACTGAACTCTGCGAAAAAAGAAAGTGCTTTGGACACCAAAGATTCTGGTGTAACATAAAAATACATTGGAAATTATTTTTAAATAGCTTAAACGATTCAGAGTATTGAAGTTTTTCTTCCAATCAGTCTGGTGCTACAACAGCAGGCAAGAGAAGACCATTCTGAAATAAACAAGCGGTCACCACGTGGCCAAACGGGACACCTGCCAAGCAACAAATTCAAACGTTCTAATACTAATAAAATTAAATTCAAGCTCTAAAACCCTTAACCCTTTACCCCAAGTGCCCTATAACCCTGTACTCTAAAGCACTCAAACCAAATGACCTAGAGTGTGGAGTTTAATCAGTCGTTAATTGTATTTGTTTGTCAACAAGAAAATAGCTTCTTAGTTAAAAAATATATATATACACTAGTGGGGCTAACGCCCCTCTGCGCGATCCATGCGCCAACCCCCCACTAACAGATTGAGTAGACAAAATAACAACATTACTCGTGTAATTATCAATACAGGCTAAGAATAAGTTAACAACAGCAGAATACGCGACTCACAAAGGAGTTGATAAAACATATCATAACATAAATATTAATTTTCCAATAGAATTTTTAAATAACATCAGAGAAGGTTTTCCACCACATGAATAAGAATTAAAAATAAATAATATAGCAATGTTAATAAGAACTTTAAGTATATCAGACGGTCTCTGTAGAGGCACAAAATTAAAAATAACAAAATTATTTGAGTATCATATAGAAGCAAAAATAACAACGGGAAAAAAAGCAAAGTTCATATTCCTAGAATAACATTAAATACTGGTACCTCATCATCATTACCTTTTGTCTTATATAGAAAACAGTTTTCCTTTGTATTAGCATTGTCTATGACTATCAACAAATCACAAGGACAGAGTTTTGATTCCTTAGGATTGAATATTAAAAAACCTTCATTCTCTCACGGACAATAATACGTTGCTTTATGAAGATGTAAGAATTCAAAAAGAATTCTTATTTAAATTAAATTCGAGAATAAATCAGAAATTGAAGATATTGTTTGGAAAAAAATTTTTCAGTAATTCAAAAATATGTCACTTCAAAGATCGTTATATTCAAACAGACGTACGTTAATTCATAAAAACCATGAAAAAAAAAATACGTGAAAAATGTGGAAAGGGTTTTAAAAGAACAGATGGGTTAAAACGACAGATGAAATGTCGCAACATTAAATTAACAGAACGAATTATTGTTTCAAAAGCTTAATTGTACTTGTCTATTTAATTATACCTGCTCCTGAATTCTGTCTTTTTGTAAATAAAGTCCTCAGTTAATCAAGAATTTTATATTTGGATAAAGTACACATGGACCAGAAAGAGATTTCAATGTAAAAGTTCAATCAAGTTAAACAAATAATGGTCCTTCAGAGACATATAGTGAGTAAGGGGAAAAGAATAGACAGAGGGGAACCTATGATCAGTGACTTGAAAAATTCTAAAAACGAGGTATGACTTAAGTACCAAATTACATATATTTTTGAACATATGGGATGGTAAAGTTTTCTATAAATAAGTATTTTTTGGGGAGGAGGTAGAGGGGGGGTGAGGGGAGGTGGAGGGGGAGCAAAGAAGAGCTGAGGGGGAGCTGAGAGGGAGCGGGGGAAGCAGGGGAGGAGGTTACTGAAATATTATTTGATCAAAAATGACGTAGAAACAAGCAAATAATTATGTGAATCGAGGGAGAGCGGGGGGGTTGAGACCCACTTTCGTTAATATAACTATATAACGTAGGGAGATATATATATATATACACACATATACATGTAAATTATTTATAAGGTGTAGGTAGGTTTAAAAAAACGAATTAATTATTGAAATCGTTTAGTTAGCTTAAAAATTAAGAGTTATTATTAAATAAACTTTTCCAGTCCCAAGCTTTTGAGCATTTAACTGTCGACCACAAGTTTTTATCCCCATAAATTTGTACTCCAAAACACATAAATTAAGTGAACCTGAATGTTAAGTTGATTGAGTAGTCATTGTATTTTTTAAATAACAATAACAGCTATTTATCGGGAAAAAAAGGAAATAACTTGCTTAATATTTTTATGATATTTGTAGGTTGGAAAAAGTAATTACTAAAATGATTTGGTTAGCTAATAAAGTTATTAATCAATAAGATTCTCTGCTTCCAAGCTCTTGAGCTCCAAACCCCTTACCCAAAGTGCTTTAATAACTGAATGAACTGAGAATTCTGATGTATCTTAAAACACTTAAACAAAATGACCAAGGCCAGGGATAAATAACATATTATATCTATTTTTCAAGAAACAATACATACAAAAAATTTTGGCAAACTAACTTTCATAACTTGCATCTTTTATCACTTTCTAAAAATAATTAATTGAACAAAAAAGTTATTTATCTTTGTATAGTTTAAATTTAGTGGTTATTGAAATTTTAAAGGTATAACATTAAATTATTAGTGTTGTTTGCACAAAAATTGCATTGAGTTTAGTAAAATGATTATAAGTTTACTAAAATCAACCGATGTAACTAAACGCATCAGTTTATTACGTGAGAACTGCATGGAATATGCAGGATTATGGGGTTTAAGGACGTTTATCACTCATAGTTTTTTCTGATAGTTGTTGTCAAAACTTTGCACGTATCTTTATTACTTATACTATAAAAATTTTCCACACAGTATTTTTAATCGTCCTATTATCCGACTTTTTCAATATTTGAATTGAAAAAATTTCAGTTTAACATGAAAATAAATCTGCAAAACTAGCTGCAAGTGTGTTTTGAAAGTCAAGCTCGTTCCGTATTAGTAACTTGATAATGACATAAGACATATTAGGACTTATTTAATCTACTAGTAAGTAATGAGCTTAAATTGAAGAACCCAACCAGTTTCTCCTAGCAACGTAGTGGTCACAGTAACGCACTGAAATAAAAGTGTTATTAGGCGAACTAGTAAACTCCTACACTGTTTTTTCAAAAAAGAGCAATTT